GGCCTCTTGCGGGGGTCCTTGGAGGGCTTGGAAGGCACTTGAAACCGTCTTGGGTCGGTTTTGGGGCTTCTTGGATGCGTGTCGGAGGCTACCTTGAGCCACCTCGAAATATCTTTGGCCATCTTGGAGGCTATGTTGGGCTATCTAAAACCTTCTTGGAGCAATATTGGGCCATCTTGGACGTTCTAACCCTTCGCCCCCCCGCCCCCCCTTTCCAGACCCAGGGAGGGGGGGGGGACCTCCCGAGAAGGAAGGGGAAGGAGGTTTGAAAGGGAAACGCTCTGGACCACCTGCGCCAAGAGGGCTGGTGGGATTTGGTCAAGGCTTGTCTGGCGTCCAAGGGTTCTATGATTCAATCCCATGGGTGGCCCTGACCAGGACCGCCCTGCGACTGTATTTCCCGCCATTTTTTCTACGCCTAGAACTTCTGCGATGCGCAGCAGCTCGCGCGTTCTCCCAAGAGGGAGCCGTCTGCAACCGCTTCGAGCACTGCCAGTCGGTCATCCAAGGGCTTTGGGGGGGAACGAGATCCGCCAATATCCTCACTCACTTTGTCCTGCGGGTGGTGACCACGGTGACGCCGCTCAAGACTCGCAGAGTGTGGATCGACGACATGTGCCAGATGATTACTGGGTCACGCAGAGTTGTGCGATCTAATCTCATCCGTGGAGTTGTGAAGACGGGCCAGGAGCTCGCCATGGTCGGCTTTAAGCTGGCTGAAAAGTTCGTCGTCGTGTGGTGTGCGGCGGCTGACCCGCGCGCGGTTGCCGAGGCCGCCAGACTCAAGGGCTTCCTTGTCAAGGCGCCGCGCCAGGCACCGCACTTGGAGGTCGACTTCAGCTGCGGCAGGCTTGGCACAGCGACGTGGGCTCAGCGCCAGACCAAGCGCGGCATGATGAACGCGAAGGTCAGGGGGTTCAGTCGCGCCACATGGCGGCGTGGCACAGCGACGTGCCTCCAGCGCAACGGATGCCGACCTGGGTCCTGCGGCGTCCAGGTGCATGGTATGTTCGGCCAACAGCTGGTTAAATGCCGCAGGAGATTGGAGCATATATGTGCTGCAGGGACGAAGGGGCGCTGCCTGAAAACGCTCCTCGACCTGCGGGTGCCAGGAGGAGACCAAGCGATTGCGATCCCAGTGAATTGCATCGACGAGTGATTCAGCGTCTGGCGGCAGTGGCCTGACATCAGGCGTGGCATCCGCCAGGTATGGCACGCTGTGCGCGACCGCGTGCGCAGTCTTGATTCCCGGCAGCAGGTGCGAGGTGTCTGTGGACCAGTGTCGGCGACTATTCTCACCTTGCTACGTCTCGACTGGAGTCCCGAGGCCGCGGATGCTTGGTCGTGTGCGTCGCAGCGAGATGTCGCCGAATAGTGGCAATTACCAGATGCGGACATGAGTTCTTGGATGCCCACCGCGACTTGTTCCGCGATGTGCGACGCTCGGCAGACTTCACTGCGTGGGGCAGGGCAGCGCTGCGCTACTGTGGAGGCGGGGCTGAATTCGGAGTGGACAACCACTCCTTCAGGCCTCTCCTGAAGCAGGTTAGCCAGTTGCCTCGCGGTGCACGCTTACCAGAGTTGTGAATTACATAGACACTGGCGGCTTCAGGACACGCCAGCGCCGCCAGGGCGAGATGCCCGCGTACACAGCCAGCAGTTTGTGCGTTTGGTGCCGATCCCATCCAGAGACGGCGTTCCGCAGATTTTGGAAGTGCGCGGGAGTGTTGGCGCCTCCCCCTACCTGCACTAGCCCGGGCAGTCTGGTGCCAGAGGCGCTGGCACACGCAGATTATGCTGCATGTTTTTGGCTGCGGGTTCTTATGCCTCGAGACTGGACGGAGGTGCCCGAGCCCCAGACAGAGGCGATCTTGGAGTTCAGGGGCATCAGCGAGCTGACCCAGGGCGCGTTCGGGGCTGGCGCAACATGGTCACCAGTCGAGATCCCCGGAGATGCGAGTGGGGGAGCGGATGCGGGCATCAGCACATCCACGCGGGTCGGTGTTGCCATAGTCTGCGTGGCCAGCCGCCTCCCCGAGATCCAACTGCGCGGCGCGGTGTTTAGCCCCTTCGGAGGAGCCGGGCAAGTTGTGGCCAGGGGCGAGCTGTGCGCCCAATGCCGTGCTATCTGGTGCACAACACGCTTCCTCATCTTTGTGGCGGGCTGCGAGAATGTAGCAGCAGGTTGGTGCACGCAGGCCTACCTTTATCCCGTGGGTGACGACGCCGACGTTTGGAAGAAGGTAGGCAATGCGATGTTTGACCGCTCACATTCAGAGATCGACGTGGTGAGGGCCCACTCCCACTGCGCAGCTGTCGATATAGTCGAGAAGAGGGCCCGCGGGTACCTGGTCATATGCAGCCTGCTGGCCGACGAGTTCGCGGGCTTCGCTGCGGCTAACGCGAGGCTGTCTGCCAACATCCGCCTTGAAGATTTGATGGCAGAAGTGAAAGCGTACCTCATCCAATTGCGGCTCCTTCGAGCCACGCTTGACAGTATCCAGGCCAGTCAGGAGGCTGATCATGTGAAGCATGAAGCGTCTCGTGGCCCCCGAGGCTCGAGTGAGGCCCCTCCTCTTCCTCCTCCTCCTCCTCCTCCTCCTCCGCCTCCCCCTCCTGCTGCTGCCGGAGTCTCTACCTTGTTGTCTCGGCGCCGTCTTGCCGAGTGCGGTAGGAGGTGCCTCGAGCGTTTTGGATCGGCGACCTTCGTCGCCGCTCGGGAATTCGTGGGGTCAGAATGCCCGTGCTTGTCTGACGTTGATAGGTTGGTTTTCTCGCCGACGCAAAGGGCGCGAATTCACGTCGCCAGGGGCCTGGGCCCACGCTGCGCACGCCCTGATTGTTCATCCGACCCTTCAGGTTTGGTTTTGCACAGAGTGTGGGGCCATCGCGAGAAAAGGGGGCCCTGTAGTAAGAGGAGGCCCGCCACGGGCAGCGAGTATCTTGACAGGGTTGCCAGAGGGACTGATTCCCGAGGTCCTGGGCCGAGCTGAGCAATCGACTCGGCGTTCGGAAGCTTGTGAATCTAGGCCTTGCGAGATTCCAGAAACTGCGTCGCAGCGGTGTCCACTCCACTCCATTGTAATCCACTCCGCTCCACTCCACTTCTCCTCGCGCCTCCTCTTTTCCCTCGTCCATCCGTCCGATCCGACCTGCTGCGTGGCGGCGCTCCTGAGTTGGAAGGACCATGCGCAGCGAGGGAAGTCAAGTCGAGGCGAACTCTCGCGCCTCCTCTTCTCTTGTCGCCTACGCTTCGTCTTCCGCCTTCTCCTCGCGCCTTCTCCTCCTCCTTGCGCCTTCTCCTCCTATCCTTCCCATTTTTCTCCCTCGTTTTCTCCTCGTGCCCTTTGTGGAAACCCTCTGCAACCTCCAGCAACCTCCGAACGTCAGCACATCGGAAACCCTTCGGCAACCTCCTCTCGTTGTCGTCGTCGTCGGCGTCGTGGTCTTCCTCGAACTCCTCCTTCTCGTCCAATGTGATTTCGGAATGCCCGGCTCTCTCCGCCAACCCTTCCGCCACGGCGAACCAAAAATTGGAAAGCCGACCTGGTGAGAAGGGGCCGTCATCCCAAAACTGGCGCCCTCTTGGGCCATTTCCGTACTGATTCAAGCGAGTCTCCCATTTCGCCCGTCTGTGGTCATTTATTTCCCTCAACCATCATGTGGTGTTGGGTCTTCGTTTTGAAGAGTCGACGCCCCGAGTCCCTCACTCCTTCATCCTCCCCGTCCTCCTCTCTCCTCACCATCGGCATCCTGTTGCCCCCCTCCAGTACAGTGTTTCGTGGCCCCATAAGGAACTCCACCGAAGGCCCCCATGGCACCGCCCGCGTGCGTCACCCCCACCCGTACAGCGTTTCGTGGCCCCACAGGAGTCCCACCAAAAACCCGAGTGGCACCGCCCGCATGCGTCACCCCCACCCAGTACAACGCTTCGTGGCCCCATAAGCGGCTCAGCCGAAGGCCTTCGTGGCACCGCCTGCATGCGTCACCCCCACCCAGTACAGTGTTTCGTGGCCCTATAGGGAACTCCGCCGATGGCCCCAGTGGCACCGCCCACATGCGTCATCCCAACCCAACGCAGCGTTTCGTGGCCCCATAAGGAGCTCCACCGAAGGCCCCACTGGCTGTACTCGCATGCGCTGTCCCCCACCCAGTACAGTGTTTCGTGGCCCCATAAGGAGCTCCACCGAAGGCCCCACTGGCGGTGTTCGCGTGCGTCACTACCTAGCACAGCGTTCCATGGCCCCGTAGGGAGCTCTACCGAAGGCCTCAGTGGCGGTGTTCGCATGTGTTCCACCCGCCCAACACATCGCTTCGTGGCCACATGGGGAGCTCCACCGAAGGCCCCAGTGGTTGTACTCGCATGCGCTTCCCCCCGCCCAGCACAGCGTTTCGTGGCCCCATGGGGAGCTCCACCGAAGGCCCTAGTGGCGGCTCCGCCCCATTGCGGCGCACCACTCGGACTCTTCGCGGCCCCGTAGTGCGTTCCGCGTAAAGCACCAGTGACAGCGCCCACATGGCGGCCTCGCCTCACATCGGCACACCCTTCGCATGCTTCATGGCCCCATGAGGAGATCACCCAAAGGCGATACCCGCAACCACAGTGCTCACAACTGCATATGGTTGGGCCATTCGCCATGATACTTTTTTTGGTGGGTCTTCTTCGGTTCTCCAAGGTTTATTGTGTGTTCGACGAACTCTTGTACGTAGGCCTTTATATCCTCCTCCTCCTTCTCCTCCTCCTCCTCCTCCTCCTCCTCCTCTCGCGCCTTCTTCTTCTTCTCCTCCTCCTCCTTCTCCTCCTCCTCCTCCTCCTCCTCCTCCTCGCTCATCCAGAACGAAGCCGTCGGGAACCTGGGAAATGTTAGAAACCTCGGAAATGTCGAAGCGTCTCGTGGTCGTCGTCGTCGTCGTTGTCGTCGTCGTCGGCGTCGTCGGCGTCGTCGTCGTCGTCGTCGTCCTTCTGTCTTGCCGAGCTCGGCGCCCCCGCCGCGCTCCAGGCGCCCCTCGCCTGGTCCTTCCGGGACGGGAGGCCGGTGCACCTGGTCGTACGGGACGCTCCCAGAGGATCGGGGAACGGCAACCAGCGGCGTTCTCCGACCTCCTGGCATCGGCAAAACCCAGATTTGCAACCATTTGAAGTAGTCGCGACGGCTGTTTTTCTTTCATGGTTTCGGAAGCTACTCGTTGGGTCCTGGGACCGTCCGGGAACCATCCTCGACGATACTTTGGTCAGTGTCGAAAAGTCCAGGGCCCGCATCCAGTCAATCACGACGTCAGAGGTCTAGGAAGATCACGACGGCCCTCTTCGTCGCTCCGTTTCGGGCTCTGGGGCCTTCATGGATTGATATTCGTTTCGAAAGATCAGGCATGAACACGGGGTCGGCAGTCCCCGCTTTTGTACTGTCTGTATGTTTGCCTGCCTGCCTGCCTGTGTCTGTGCCCGTGTCTGTGCCTGTGCCCGTGTCTGTGTCTGTGTCTGTGTCTGTGTCTGTGTCTGTGTCTGTGTCTGTGTCTGTGTCTGTGTCTGTATCTGTGTCTGTGTCTGTGCCTCTCTCTCTCTCTCTCTCTCTCTCTCTCCCTGTTGTTTCTTCACGACGTCGCGATCTTTTTTCACGACGTCATCGGTGTACCATGGTTGGTGCCCTCCGAAGACCCAGACATCGGACGTCTCGACTCTTTCTCGAGATATGGGCCCCATGATTCTCTTGACCCCGTCACCGGGGCCAGCTTTCTACCCTGCATCGTTCTCTGACGGCCATGGGGCCCGAAGCTGGCCTCCAGAGGCTCGAAGTGGCGAAAGCGCTGGCCGCCTCGAAGCGTCTCGAGCCGCCGGATGTCTGGGGAGGAGGCAGCGCGCTGCTGGACTTTGCTCGAGGCGCGCTCGCGGACACCCGGGAGGAGAACAGGCGAGGGCTGGAGGGGCGCACTGGGCTGCGCGAGGGCGAGGCGCTGCTGATGCGCTACCCGGAGGTCCCTGGGCGAGCCGCGGACACCATGCGGGACACGCCGCAGGACCTCGACATCGGCTGGTTCAGCCCCAGCGGAGAGCTGGTGGAGGTCGCCCCGCTGAGGGCCCGCGGCCTCGCGCTCACCTACTCGCGCAGCTCCAACGTGGCCTATGGCCTGGAGGCCCCCGCCGGCACGTTCGCCGCGCGCGGCGCGCGCCCGGGCGCCGCGTGGCTGGACCTCGGCTTGCTGCCAGCCCGGCCTGGCGCGGCGCTGGCGCACGTGGGCCACGGCGCGGGGTCGGGCCCGGCAGGAGGCCACCCCGTACTCGCAAAGTTCATGTGACCGGGGCACCGCACCACAATACGCGCCTCGCGTGGCGGCGGCGGCCCTCCCTGGTGCGTGGCGGCGGCGCGTGGGCGCGAGGAGGAGCGAGTCGGGCGACTCGGGGGGTGTTGTCGCCGAGTCTCGGTGCACGAGCCTCCGTGTGAGTCAGCGGCGCAGGAAAGAAGGTGACCTCCTGCTCCCCCGACGTCGGGCGTCTCAACAAAAGATGGGATGGCCAGTTGTGGGCGGCCACTTCTGGGGGCCCCAGGAGACCAGTTTCGGGCCCTGGGGCCGCCGAAAAACGACTCGTAGTCAGAAGCCGGCCCCAGGGGAGGGATCGAGGAGCCCGGGGGCCAGAGAGGCAATCAGGCCGCCAGGTGTTGAGGTCCTCCTTCTTGGTGGGCAGGTCCTTCGCGGGAATGCTGGGCGTCTGTCGGCCCCCCGTCGGCTCCGACCTCTGGCTCCCGCCAGCCTCGCGTTTTCTCGGTCGCTCGTCCTCGTTCGACTCGCCTTCCGCTCTCCGCTCCGTTGTCCGTGCCCGGGCGCTTCTCCTGGGCGGGCCGCGCCGCGTCCTCTCAGCACGCGCTTGGGCACCTCATTAAAGTATTCTTCTCCTGGCGACGATCACTTTTCTTTCGGCGGACGGTGGCGCCGTTCCTCTCGCGTGTGGTCGTGCTTCTCGTGCTCGTGGTGCTTCCCCAGTGTGCCCCCAGCGGCCCTTCGTCTGTGAGCATTAGCGTGCTGGCACTCCTCTCCTCTTGAACAACGGCTGTGTCTTTCGTGACTCAGAAGTGCCGTTCTTTTGTGCCAGAACGCCAGTGCTCAGCAATTTCTTCACCGCATGTTCACTACCCCAGTGGGACTCGACCTCCAGTGTTGTGCAACGTTTGCTTTCCCCTGTGCGATCGTGTTCCTCATTTGGGGTGGAAATGCGTTTGTGTGGGGCACGACGCCTGCTCTTGTTCGGCACAGTGATGCGCAGTGCGTAATACATGCCTTCAAAATGTCGATGTATGCAGTTTCGAGAAACGCGAACTAGTGGAAGCTCGCTATCCGGGTGCTGATTCGTACCAGGCTCTTCCAATATGCAGTGATTGGCATTTTATTCTTTTTGAAATATAGTTTCATTCTTCGAGCAAGAGCTTTCACACACACACGCACATATACATGCATGTTTCGGTTAGGGCCCCGCCTTTAACGTCTGGAATATCCTTTGTGCACGCTGCTCTCCTCTCCTCCTTTTCTCACTGCAGCCGTTTTGGGCTCGTGCAGGCTACACTTTTGCGAAGGGGGCCCAGGCCCTCAGAATCCATGGCGCTCTTGGCATCCGACACGGGGCGGTGCCGCGGGCTCGCTTGGTTGACCCTGGCGTTGGGGGTAGCCGTGGGAGCGGCTGAGTTCCCCCCCGGCACCAGGGACCCCCCTCGCAGGCGGCCGAGGGCGGTCGTCGGAACTGCTGCGGGCGCCGTTGCCGGACTGGCCTGGGGAGCCCCCGAGGGCGAGAACCGCCAGCCCTCATTTTGCGGGGGGGAGGAGGGCGCGAAGTGGGAAGCGGGGGCGGAGTCCCCCCTCTTCTCGAGCGCCCCGCGATCCGCAGCCTGGCTCGGACGGCAATGAGCCCAAAGGGCCGCCAGGCCTTTCCACCAACCTGGCGGAAGGGCCCGATTCAGTGGGAGCTGAGGAAGGAGGACGGGACCGACCCCGAGGACGAAGAGGCGGAGGCACCACGGCCAGGCGAGGAGAGCGTCCTCGAGTGCGGCTGGGGAAGCAAACTCAATGCTGGATGGAAGAGTTGAGCGCGGAATGGGGCCCGACGAAAGGGCCCCAGCACTGGGGGCGAAGGCGCAGAGCTCCCAGCGCCCCAGCAGGCGACGCCGATCCGTCGGCGGATAGCTGGTGGGAGCGCGGGGTAGACGGGGGCCGCCAGCAATTTAGGCGGCTTTTCTCCCGGGCCCTGGGTGCAGAGATCAGGGGGCCCCTGGGGGCAGCGCTGCAATTCCTCCTGGCCCTGGTCACTGGTGCCTTACTATTGGGCCGACTGGCGTACGTGGGGGCTCGGGCGGGGCTGCTACTATACGGGAGGGCAGGAGGCGGAGGGGCTCACCCCCCTGCGCGAGCTCGACTGGCGGGGGCATCCACGTCCAACTCCTTCTATCCCGGGGCGGGGGTCGGCGACCGCCGGCCCAACCGCCTCCTGGTCGTCATCGAGGGGGGGCGCGCCCGCTTGGAGAAGGTAGATGCGCCATCCCCCGCCGCCAACGCGCAGGGCCAACTCTACCACTGCGGCGCGGTGGTGGCCTGGCGCGAAAAGGTCGCCAGCGCCCAGCGTCGCCAGGAGGGCGATTCGGAAAGCGGGGGGCACGCCGTCAAGAGCTGTGGCGGGAATCGTGTAGGGTGGCTCATACCTGCGCAGGGAGGTTTGGGGCGCTGGGCCTGACGGGGCCTTGCCGCTGCCCCGCCTGGGAGAAGCCAGCCCCCCTCTTGCAGGACGACATCCCGCCGCTCCGACGCGGAGGGGCTGGCGCGCGAAAGCGGGGCCGTGCTCGCCCCACCATGCTTTGCCCGCGAGGAGCAGTGCCAGCGGGTGCGCCGCGTTTATCGCTGCACCTACCCAGCGTGCCACAGGGCGTAACTGGGCGGGACGCCGGTGGGTCTGCGAGGAGCGCGCCCGCGCCCCGAGGGAGGAACCCACCGGAAAGGATTATTATGTCAGCTTGGCGGCCTCGTCAGGCGAACCCCCGCCCGCGCCTCCGCCCCAGTTCGTGCGCTGGGTTGCCCCCTCCGACAGGAAGGGGCGTTTTTTCCTAGCCTTCCTTCGCTCGCGGGAGGGGGGCGCCCCCTCGGGGGCGGGCCCCGCTGGCCCGCGCGAGCCTTGCGTCTTCTTCGAGGGGGAGGGGGGGCAGCCGCCAGAAGGGCACCTCCTGGTCGCCGCTGTCATCTTGGTCAAGACTATGGGCCTGCGCTTCTCCGCCCCCCTGCAGCCGGCGAAGGGGGCCCGCCTTCCGCTGGCTGTTTGCCATCGGCCAGTCCGAGCAGCGGGGCCACTGGCGGCGCCCCCGTGCGCCGAGCGGATGAGCCCGGAGCCCCCGGGCGGCTCTGAGGAGGAGGAGGAGGGGGGGGAGGAGGAGGAGGAGGAGGAGGAGGAGGAGGAGGAGGAGGAGGAGGAGGATGAGGATGAGGAGGAGGAGGAGGAGGAGGAGGAGGAGGAGGAGGAGGAGAGGCGTTTGGTCCAGGAGAAGGCCTGACCCCAGCTGTGCCGCCAGCGAGGCTGGCCACGCTCTGATACTGTACTACGAAAGAACCTGCGTGGCACGGGCGCCAGCGCGCCAAGCGCCACCAGGCGCGCACCACCCTTTCTCTTTACAAAACCCACGCCCTCCTTACATCCCACTGCAGCTCCCCCCTCTATAAGATGCTTGGTCCTCGCTCAGGAAATGGTATGGTAGGATGTCCCCAGCGGCAGTGGAATTGATGGTGTGGGCGCTACGTCAATGCGCGCCACTGGCGTTGTTTGTGCGGCAAGCATTTCGATGAACGTGTCCGTCAGCTCAGCCGCCCTCGTGAACAAGGTGCTGCCCGAGCGAGAATATCGCGCGGCCTCCGGTCGGCCCAGCCGCCCACGCGATGCCCAGAAAGACATCAATAGAGAGAGGAGCAGGAGATCAACAAAATTCATCGGCCGTGTTATTCCCATGACAAGATCGGACGTCCATTGGTACATGCGTGACAGGGGCTACGAAGTGGCCCCGACCGACACGCCGCGCACGTTCTTCCCGTTCGAGGACTGGACGATGCGCGTCGTCATCTCGACTCGCGTCGACGACGTCTTGATTAGTAGGAAGCGGAAGAACTATGACGTTTTTTTCCAGTGCGTCAGGTCCAGGCTTCTAGTTCCCAAGTGGAAGGCCGGCTGGGTGAAGCTCTGGGGCCTCCATATTGTCCAGGACCAAGCGCCGACAGACATCGCTGGATCCCAGATGGATGGTCTAGCCACGGCAAGGGAGATAGTTAATTTCAGGGCGACGCTTGGCAGTGGTTTATATCGAGCTCGTGGGTCTCGGCCAGATTTGGCAGTGCACGTGTGCGCGATTCATCAGTGCATGTCCGGGCCCGCGATGGGCGAGATGAGTCGCGGAATCGCGATCGCGCGCCGTGCGAGACAATTCTCTATCCTCCCTTGGAGGACCCAACCAAGTCCGATCGAGCGACTTCGACTCATCATGTACGCCGACGCTTCGAACCAGCGCGCGACGAAGTCTGGGGCCCGGGCAGGTTCCGTGATTGCGGCGACCGATGAGATCATGGTCAGAAACGGGCTGAGCCCCTGGATCCCCCTTTCCAGGGAAGGCTACCGCCTGCGCCGGGTGTCGTCGTCTCCTTTTCCGCCGAGATCCATGCCCAGATCGACGGCACGGGGCGCCCGGGGTGGATGGCGCGCCTGATCTTGGAGGGGTGCATCGGGGACTTCTGCTTGCGTCGACGATCCGAGGTTCTGCCCGTGCTGGCTCCAATCGCTTTGGCGGGCTCGTAGGTCCGTCTGCGATCACATCATCAGTTGTGGGTGCGCGGGGGCCATTTCGCATGCGCGGGTGGCCTTGGACTTGGTGATCGCGGAGGAGAGCGTGCGACGTCTTGGTTTAAGCTATCGCCGTGTTCTGTCAGCTTTGCTTTAGGCGGGTATTCAAGCGCGAGATAAAGCCGGGCCAGCCGATGCGTCGAGAGCTGCGATGGCGAGCGGGGGGTTTCAGTTAGCCGACGAACCAGCAGTCGTGGCAGCCGCGGCGCAAGGGCGGGTCCGTCGCCAGGTTCTTCTCGGCTCGTGCTGAGCGGGCTGGTCAGGCCAGGTTTCCACGTGCGCCGCAAGACTGGGCTCAAGACAAGTGCGGTGGTCCAGTTCGAGAGCAAGCTCGCCCAGGGCGAGGTCTGGGGCATGTTCGAAAGGATCCAGGTGTAGTCGGTGCGCCATTCGTGGATTACGTGCAGGGCGGTGACGAACATGCTGACGTTCGGTGTTCTCGAGAACTTTAGGTGCAGGAGCAATGTGGCCGCGACGTGGAGTAAGGGGGCAGGCAACGTCGCGATCAGGCCTGCGGCGATCGTCGAGGACTCGGCCTTGGTGCATCTCGAGGTGCTGAGCACTTCGTACGCGGCTATGCTGGGAGGCGTGGGTTTGGAGCTGTTGGGCGGCATGCCGGAGTCGATCGAGGCGCTGCAGTTTCCCGCCGAGCACAGCTACGAGGGCGGCCCAGGACAGTCATATTCGGACACGTGGAGTGTCGTCTCATCAAGAATTTCTGACGACCCAAAGCTCAAGCAGGCCATCTCGAACCTGTGCGAGTGGGGAAACCAGGAGCTGGCGGAATACGCGGGTGCGACGTGTCTCTTGTGTTCGCGTGATGATGAAGGAGTTCTTGGCCCCGCGGGCCTACCTCCTCCCGCCTGTCGACGAGGAAATGAACCGTGAGGATGAGGCGGGGGCTGAGCCGTCCGCCGCTGCAGCTGCTGTTGCCTCCAGCCGTGCTGCGCCTAGTACTCGCAGTAAGTAGTTTTCCTTTGTGGCCGGTGCGCGGCCATGCCACTTCCGTGACCGGGAAGCCCATTCGGTCCCTTGCAGCCTCAATGACGCATGGGCTTCAGTTTTTGGTCGGTGCTGATCTGGGCCCTATCGGGCCCTCGCGGGTAGAACGCTGACAATCGAATGCTTTGCGTGCGTGTTGTGTTTGCAGCATTTTGGTTTGCCTCCGGAGTAGAAGAAAGGGAACGCCCCCCCACCCCCCCTTATCCCCCTATCGGAACCCAGTCTGCCCCCAGGATGAGGAGGGGTTGGAGGGCGAGGACGACTTTGTGCGATATTGAAGTTGGAAGGAGAAGGGGGGAGTGACGAATGTAGGGGTGGTGGTGGTGGTGGTGGTGGTGGTGGTGGTGATGGTTGGGGAGGCTGACGAGCAGGAATATTACGTGGCTAGGGGTGGGGGTGCGGTTTCGCGGCGACACCAGCGCGGTTCCAGGTTTAATGTCGCTGGTGGCCCAGAATTCGGCCATTATCCAACGACCCCCGATGTGATAAGCCTGCCACCGTTCAAGGTTAAACAATCCACGCGGTGTGAAAAAAACACAACACTCACGTTGTCACGACAGATGATGTGGACGTGGATGATGGTGCGGGTGGCTCTCCAGTTTGCCAGCGGTCCTTGTAGTGCACGCGCGCGCCCGTGTCCTTCACGGTGCGCGTCCCGCGCCCCCCTTCGCGCCCCCAGGCCCGCCGAGCCGCCATGGTGCCCCGCGGGGGGGTGGGGGCGGTGAGGGTGAGGAGGAGGAGGAGGAGGAGAAGGAGGAGGAGGAGGAGGAGGAGGTGGAGGAGGACAAACAATATAATGAGTGCCATGTTGGTGATGCGGATGATATTGGCGATGATGGTGGTGATGTTGAACATGGTCATGATGATACTTTTGATGATGATGATGCGGATGATGATGATGAGGATGATTATGCTGCTGATGATGATGATGGTTTTGTGGATGCTGCTGATGATGCTGTGGTGGATGATCATGATGATGATGATGGTGGTGGTGGTGATGATGATGATGCTGATGCTCCTGATGATGATGTTGGTGGTGATGAGGATGATGATCATGATGCTGGTATTGTTGATGGTGATGATGCTGATGATGATGATTGATGCTGCTGATGATGATGAAGATGATGATGAGGATGATGGGGGTGATGATGACGATGATGATGATGATCATGATGATGATGACGATGATGATGATGATGGTGGACTTGATGTTGATGATGAGGATGAGGATGAGGATGATGATGATGATCATGATGATAATGATTCTGATGATGCTGATGATGATGATTATGATGATGATGATGCTGATGATGATGATGCTGCTGCTGATGATGATGGTGATGATGATGATGATGCTGATGATGATGATGATGATGAGGATGATGATGACCATGATGATGATGAGGATGATGTTGATGATGATGATGATGATGATGATGATGATGATGATGATGATGATGATGATGATGATGATGATGATGATGATGATGATGATGATGATGATGATGATGATGATGATGATGATGATGATGATGATGATGATGATGATGATGATGATGATGATGATGATGATGATGATGATGATGATGATGATGATGATGATGATGATGATGATATTGTGGCGACGCCTCTCCGTATGGCCTCCGAGGCACAGTACCCATCAAACCTTTCCAGGAACATGCGTACGGAAAGACTGGTGCCCTCGTGGCCAAGAGACCAACGAATCGTGTGCGTCCTTCCCGATTCGAATCTGGGGCCTTCCGGATGCCCGCATTTCAGCCTTAGTCCGATTTCGGATGCTGGCCCATTGGGTGAAACTGCAAGACGAAAGTCAGTCGCCAGACACCGACAGCATAAACTTTTTGAAACCTTCGCTGAACACCTATGCGCGTGCACGCACTCTCTTCAAAACTGTGGGCCCGATCGCTGGAAGCAAAGGGAAAAAACTGTGTGAATCTACAACCCGGCGATTTCATGATTGCAGGCAGAACACTTTGGAGCGTAGTTGCGAAGAGCAGGCGTCCAGGCTTCAGGTGATCATGTTCCCGATGGGCTCTCAGGTTGACGACGTCACGTAAGAGTCGATCGCCGCATTCTTATCGACACGACAGGCACCGGATGCAAATCCCAAACATGAGCATGAACGCCAGCAAAATGTAACTAATCGTCAATTGTAGCAGGATGCCCCATTCTCGATTTATTTTGTAGTGTGCTTGGCTTGACAGTCCTCCGCTGGAGCCTTCCGTGCAACTTTCGGAATATGGTTCGATATGCTTCAGGGTGGTCTTGCGGCAGGAAGGATTTTGAATGGATTTGGTGGCGTGCTCCAAAGCTAAAGAAGCACGTAGTAAGCTTCATGACCTACTCGTAGAGCTGCGTGCGCGCCGCGTCGCGGCTTTTTGTTCATCGTCGTGCGGGCGCGGTTCGCGTCGCCAGGGTCGTCGCGCGGGCGTGGTTCGCGTCGCCAGGGGAGCGCCCGCGCGTTGCGTGTCGGTTACGAGATTCGGTGTATTGTTTCGTTTCGTGGGCTTGGTCGGGGGCCGTGATTCCAGAGGTCGCGCGATCGGCTCGACATTGCGTTGCAGGGCGGCGGGCTCGCGGCGCCAGTGCTGCCCGGCGGATTTCTTGGACCCCAACGATGCGTGGTTTCGCGCCAAGCCAGCAGCGCTTGACCGCTGCGGGTGCCCGGTGCGATGCTGGCCGATTCTCGCGCGCATTGGGCGTGTATTTCAGTTCCCGCAGTCGGCCGCGAGATGGCGCTTGATGGGCGCGGGGGCCCGCCCGACCCATGGCATCCGCAGCGCCGTTGGTGCCGATCTCGTCGCGCGGCCAGGCGGCGACCCTGACCCGCTCCGCGTGTACGGGGCCAAAGAGCAGCGCTGCCGCGTGCAGAGAGCAGTCCGGTACCAGCTTGCAGTCGAAGGCGGGAGGGGGCTCGCCCGCACCTCAGACGCGCGTGGGGCATTGGCTATTCCGGGCGTGGGGCAGATTCTCGCCGTGCTCCTTGGGCTCGCAACGAGTGAGATGGCGCGACCGAGCCGCTTGAGTGCGAGGCCGTGTGCAGGCCTCCCTGGGCCGCGGCGGCGACGGGCTCCAGCGGCGCGATGGGGGGCGGCGTGGCGGGCCCCAGCGGCGCCGTCGCGAGGGGCGCGATGGGCTCCAGCAGCGCCATCGTGAACAGTGCAACGAACTCCAGCTGCGCGACCGGCAGCTGCGTTGCGGACTACAGCGGCGGCGTCGCGAGCAGCGCCGCGGACCCCAGCCGCGCGAATGCGAGCGGCAGGACAGACTCCTGCAGCTCCATCGTGAGCAATGCGACCGACCTCGGCAGCGCGTCCATGAGCAGCGCGGCGGAAGTCAACAACTCGATTGCGGGCAACATAGCGGGGCCCCGCAACAGCGTCGGGGGCAGCGCGACGGACTCCAGCCGCGCCATCGTGACCAGCGGAATGAATTCCAGCAGCATGCTCTTGAGCGCCATAACGGGCCCCCGCGGCCCCACTGTGAGCGGCGTGGCGTTCTCTGGCAGCGCGACCGCGAGCGGCGGGGCGGTCCCGGGCGGCGTCGTCGTGAGCAGAACGCTGGGCCCCAATGGCGCCCCCGCCCGCGTGCGTGCGCAGGTGCCCTGGGCGCCTGCGCTTGACCCGTCAGTCGGCGCCGTTGCCGCTGCGCAGGGCGCCGGCGTCGCGGCGGCGCGTGCGATCAGGACCTTCCAGGGGCAGGGGTGGGGCGAGGAATGGGGCCTGCCGCGGCTTCTGTGATCACCTGCGCCGGCGGCGTCTACGACCCTGGCCGCGTGGGCGCGGCGCTCTTGGCCGTTCGCGGCGGCCCGCGGCGCCGCCCCTGGGCGGCGGCCGCGGTGCGGCGACGGCCGCCGGCGACAAGGGCGGGGCGTGGGGTCGGGGCGGGGGCGGTGGCGACGGGTCGGGGCCCGGTAGCGGTGGTGGAGCGGGGGGTCTTCGAGGAAGAGGGCCGGCTGCGCCGTCGTCATCGTCGACGTCGGCGCTCCCAGTTCCCGGCCTTGGTCAGCGTCGCGGGCAGCGGCCTTCGCCGGCGCAGTCAGGGTCGCCGACGCCAGCGTCCCCGCCGGCGCTGCCGCCGGAATCGCCGATGCCCGCCTTCTCGCCGGCGCAGCCGGGGGCTGTGAGGCCGACGCCCCCCGCGCGCAGCCAGGGGCAGTGGCGCCGGCGTCTTCGCCCGCGCGGCCGGGGTCTCCCACGCCGGCGCCCGCGCAGACAATGCCGGGGGCAGCGGCGTCGGCGCCTTCGCCTGCTCGGCAGAGAGCGCCGTCGCCGGCGCCCTCGCCAGCTCAGCCGCGGGCCCCAGCGCCGGCGTCGCCGGCGCGGCCGGGGCCGCAGTCGGACTGAAACGATATCTTCCGCGCGCGTTGGGGGGCGGCGGCGAGGTTGGGCGACCCGGGCCCCGGGCTGCCAGCGTTGCTCGCCCGTCGCCGTCGTCGGGGCGCCGCGCAAGCATTGCGCTGGGTAGGGGCGGTGCCGGGCGGTCGCGCGCGGCAAGGGCGTGCCTCGGAAGCCAGGCCTCGCGCAGTGACTGCGACGGGCGCCGGCAATGCCATGCCGCGCAGCCCCGCCGCGGCATGCGGCAGCGCGACCGTGGTCGCAATGACGGACGCCAGCAGTGCCATCGCGAGCAGCGCGAGGGGCTCCAGCGGCGCGACAGGGGGCGCCATGGCGGATTCCGGCGGCGTCGTGAGCAGCGCGTCGAATTCCTGCAGCGTGCCCGTTTGCAGCATGACGGACGACTCCAGCGGCCCCGTAGTGGCCAGCGTGACGCATTCCAGCAGCGCGACCGCGAGCAGCATGACTGGATCTGGCAGTGCGACGGATTGCAGCGGCGCGACCGCGGGCAGCGCGCCGCGCCCCAGCACCTGCGCTGCGAGCAGCAGGGCGGCCCCCAGCTGCGCGGCCATGAACAGCGCGCGGGCCCCAGCAGCACGAACGCAAGCAACGCGGCAGACTCCTGCAGCATGACTGTGAGCAGCGCGTTGGTTTCCAGCCGCGCCGTCGTGAGCGCCGCGACGGACTTCGGCGGCGCGACCGCGAGCCGCGTGACGGCTTCTCAGCCGGGCGAGCTAGCAGGGTGAGAGCTTGTTGAAATCTGCAGTCTTGTTTTTGCTTGCGGATTTGGTTGTTTGGTGGGGGCCGTCCGTCGCGCGTCCGTGGGGTCCGTGGCGGCTTCAATGAGCACCCTCTGTGCCATTGAAAGAGTCCCCGCGCCCGTCCCAGGAAATCCGCAGGGCGCCCGCGGCGAAAAAATGCCGCGGGAATTTTGATTCGGCCACGGGGGAAAGCAGCGTCGGCGCATTGGTTTTGGTGGCGCAGAACGCACCAACGTTTCTTACAAGTGCACGGGTGCGTTTCGCTTTGGTCAGGTAGTTGGGGCAATTTGCCGACGTCGCAAGGCTAGGTGTGCGCATCAGTATGGGCGCGTGGGTTTTACAGTCGTAATGCCCTGCGAAGCGTCAGAATGTTTGCGCCATGTTCGCTTGCAGTTTTGGATTTGAGCATGTAGATGGGGCTGCGGGTGCGCCGCTTCGTCGGCTTTTCTAGTGCGTGTTACTTTCCTCCTCCTTCTTCTTCCTCCTCCTCGGCCTCCTCCTCGGCGCGCCCCTCGCGCGGCTCGCGGCCCCATCGGGCGCTCCGCCGACGGCCCCTTGCGGGGGGGTTCGCATGCGGT